GCCTGATGGCCCCGCGAGGGGGCCGGCGGATACACACATATACATATATACATACAAAAAACACATATACACACATATACACGCATATATATATATATATATATATATGTACATATATATGTATGTATGTATGTATGTATGTATGTATGTATGTATGTATGTATGTATGTATGTATGTATGTATGTATGTATACATATACATATACACACACATGTATGTATGTATGTATGTATGTATGTATGTATGTATGTATGTATGTATGTATGTATATATGTATGCGGATACACACACATATACATACATACATACATACATACATACATACATACATACATACAGACAGACAGACAGACAGACAGACAGACAGACAGACAGACAGACAGACAGACAGACAGACAGACAGACAGACAGACAGACAGACAGACAGACAGACAGACAGACAGACAGACAGACAGACAGACAGACAGACAGACAGACAGCAGACAGGGACAAGACAGTCAGAAGACAGGACAGAGAACAGGACAGACAGGACGGACATGCATGCATTGCATGCATGCATGTCATGCATGGCATACGATTTACATACATACTACATACATACATATACACATATATATATATATATATATATATAGATATGTACATATATATATATATATATGTATGTATTGCGAAGGCCTTACGGCCGTTGCCGCCGACCCTGAAGATGACGAAAGACAACACGAGGGTGGGGGCAGGAGGAGGAGGATGAGGAGGAGGAGGAGGAGGAGGCGGAAGGGAGTAGGTGGAGGAAGGGTGAAGGGGGAGGAGGAGGAGGAGGCCTTATGGATGTTGGTTGGGATCTCGTGGTTGACCTCTCGGGGGCGTCTGGACGGCAACTTGAAGCCTCTTGGGGGCCGTTGTGGGGCCTCTTGGGGCCTCTTTTGGGCCTCTTGGGGCTTCCGGAGGCCGTCTTCGGCGCATCTTGGGGGCGTCTTGGCGCCGCTCGGGGGCCTCTTGGGGCCTTTTGGGGGCCTCTTGGGGCTTCCCGGGGGCCTCTCAGGGCGGAAGTCTCGAATTCTCGGTTCCTCGTCCCCCTCTTGGCCGTTTCTTGGGCCCGTCTTGGGGCCCTATTGGGCCGTCTTGGGCGCCTCTTAGGGTGTCCTGGGGCCTTCTTGGGCCGTCTTGGGGCCCTCTGGTAGGCCTCTTGGGGCGCTCTTGGGGGCCTCTTGGGGGCCTCTTGGGCCGTCTTGGAGTGTCGGAAAGCCGAAAAGGCGAGAAGGCCAAAATCATTCAAAAACCGATGTAAAATTGACGATTTTGGCGCCTGGGGCCCTCTTGGGTGTGCTCTTGGGGCTCTCTTGGAGCGTCTTGAGGGCCTCTTGGGCCGTCTTCGGGCCGTCTTGGGCGTCTTGGGGCCATCGTTCGTCGAGTCGAGGCCCTCTTGTACCCTTTTGGGGGTGTCTTCTGTCGCTCTTGGCTCGTCTTGAAGCTTTTCTGAGCTCCGGGACCCCCCGGGGAGGATGCGTATCTGGGTGGCGACCCCCCCCGGGGACCCCCCCCGGGGACCCCCCCCGGCGACCCCCCCCCCACCCCCCACCCCCCCCGGCGGGGAGGGTAGGGAGGGGCTTCGCCACGACTCAACTACGACGTTGCTCAATGTCGCTTTGGCTCGCGCGCTCAAGGAGACGGGGAACGACGAAGACGACGAGGGACAACGGAGACGGAGACGACGAGGACACGACGGAGACGACGACGACGACGACGACGACGACGACGACGACGACGGTGATCCACGCAAGACGATGACACCGGGATGCGTCTTCCACACGCCGACTGGGTCGGCGGATTATATATGTATGTCACTCACGGCATAGCTTACACAGCATAGCGTACATCACATAGCTTACACACCATATCTTACACTACACAGCTAGCACAGCATGGTTTGAATCGCATCTCCTTGTGCCTCATAGCTGTCACCACCTATCTCATACTACATAGCTGACACCGCAGATTACACCGCATAGCATCTCATACCACATCACTCGCACCGCATACTTCGCATCGCTTTCACCTCCACATGGCAGTAACTCACTGATCTTGATCGGGGTCCACTGGCTAACGTATGCGTACGCAGAGCAGTCCAGAACGCGTGAATGGAATACCAGGCAAAGCAACCCAAGGCAATACCGAGCTGTGCAGAGCAGCGTAATGCAGAAGAAAGCCGCGTAATACTGCAAAGCAGAACAACGGCAGCCGTACACTCGAAGCAAGCAGTAACGCACATGGCAGGAAAGCCGTGCAAGGCCTGGTCCATGTACGGGGACCATGATAGTAAGCACGCAGTCAAGCCAAAGGGCAGGTAGGTAGGCAGGCGTGGCGAAAGTGCGAGACAAGCAGGCAGGCGAGCAAGCATGCCTGCAGGGGATCGAGGCAGGCGGACAGGCCGGTAGTCCATCCAGCGAGCGAGCCAGCAAGCAGTCAATCCATTAGGCATGATCGAAGGTCGGTCAAGATGTCAGTGCGCGCTCTGCTGTATTGGCGTGGTGCAGTTGCTAGCACGTCACAGGTACTTTTTTCGCGGAGGATCAGGCTTCATCAGTTTTGCGCCAGGCTGGTCTGTCCGTAAGCCAATTGCAACACGAGGCAGCAGATCGCGCGTCTCCACTCGGATTGCAGTCATGAAAGTGATGGATCACCCCAAAGTGGTTAGACTTGTTGTTTTTTGAGGGCCGTAACAACTTTTAGTTAGCCTTGGAGCTATGTTCTGGAGGGGATCTTTTCGACTGCGCCATGGAAGCAGGCTCTACCACCCAGAAGGATGCAGGGATCGTGATGAGGCAGATGCTGATTTCTCATTCTCATACCCAGCATATCTACCACAGGAATTTATACACTGGAAAGCCTCATCCTCCCTCTCTCCCCTGCGCCCCCTTCTCTTCCTCCTCCTCGTCCTCCTTTCCATCCCGTCTCCTTCTCCTTCCTCTCCCTCCTTCCTCCTTTGTTCCCAACCATCCTGTGGTGTTGGGTCCTCGTTTTGAAGAGACGTCGCCCCGCGTTCCTTCCTTCCCGCTGCCCCCTCCCTCCTCCCATCTTCATCATCAACGTCATCACCCATTTCGGCACACCCCTCACACGTTTCGTGGCCCCATAGGGAGCTCCACCGAAGGTCCCAGTGGGTGTGCCCGCATGCGTCCCGCACACCCATTTCGGCACACCCCTCGCACGTTTCGTGGCCCCATGGGGGGCTCCACCGAAGGTCCCAGTGGGTGTGCCCGCATGCGTCCCGCACACACATTTCGGCACACCCCTCACACGTTTCGTGACCCCATAGGGAGCTCCACCGAAGGTCCCAGTGGGTGTGCCCGCCTGCGTCCCGCACACCCATTTTGGCACACCCTTCACACGTTCCGTGGCCCCATAGGGAGCTCCACCGAAGGTCCCAGTGGGTGTGCCCGCATGCGTCCCGCACACCCATGTCGGTACACCCTTCACACGTTTCGTGGCCCCATAGGGAGCTCCACCGAAGGTCCCAGTGGGTGTGCCCGCATGCGTCCCGCACACCGATTTCGGCACACCCCTCTCACGTTTCGTGACCCCATACGGAGCTCCACCGAAGGTCCCAGTGGGTGTGCCCGCATGCGTCCCGCACACCCCTGTCGGTTTACATCCTTCACACGTTTTTCGTGGCCCCATTAGGGACCAAGGCTCCACGAAGGGTCCCAGTGGGTGTGCCGCATGCGTCCCGCTAAACCATTTCGGCACACCCCTCCCACGTTTCGTGGCCCGATATGGGAAGCTCCACCGAAGAAAGGGTCCCAGTGGGTGTGCCCGCCATGCGTCCGCACACTCATTTCGGCACACCCCTCACACGTTTGTGGCCCCATAGGGAGCTCCACCGGAAGGTCCCAGTGGGTGTGCCCGCATGCGTCCCGCACACCCATGTCGGCCCACCCCTCACACGTTTCGTGGCCCCATAGGGAGCTCCACCGAAGGTCCCAGTGGGTGTGCCCGCATGCGTCCCGCACACCCATTTCGGCCCATCCTTCATACGTTTTGTGGCCCCATAGGGAGCTCCACCGAATGTCCCAGTGGGTGTGCCCGCCTGCGTCCCGCACACCCATTTCGGCCCACCCCTCACACGTTTCGTGGCCCCATAGTGAGCTCCACCGAAGGTCTCAGTTGGTGTGTGCGCATGCGTCACGCACACGCATTTCGGCCCACCCCTCACACGTTTCGTGGCTCCATAGGGAGCTCCACCGAAGGTCCCAGTGGGTGTGCCCGCATGCGTCCCGTCGTCTCTCTGCCCAGCGGCAAGAGCCTTGCCCGCTATCAGCCAGCCAGCGAGCTCTTTTTGCTCCGCGCAGTGGACGACCCGCGCGCGTCGCTGGGACCCCTCCGGGGCGACCTGCGCGCGTCGCGGGGACTCCGCGCTGCGCTGCGCCCGCAACCTTGGACTGTTGAGTGCGCGGGCAAAGAGGGAGTAAAGGAAGGGGAGGAAGCGGGCGCGATCCTCGCCGGTGGGCGCGCCGACATTGGCGTCGCGGCGCGCGGGCGATGCCGTCGGGGAGTCCCGGGGAAGCTCCTTGCGGCGGCCACGCCCAGCGTCACGAGTACTCAGAGGCAGACATTGTCAAACTATTGACATTCATACACAATTGCGCCTCGCTTTGTCATATTCGCATTCATGCACGTAGACTCGTTCGCACGCAGATTCATTCACAGTCAGACGCACGCGCGCAGATTCACCCGCGCTCAGTCTCCCTACGTACTCAGATCAATCGTTTTCGTTCGCGTTGTGTACCACGCCACTCATGTCGGCACACCCCTAGCACGGTTCGTTGCCTCATAGGGATCGCCACCGAAAAAGTGAATCACTATTGCGGTACTCACACCTGTATATGGTTGGGTCCCTCGTCAGGCTAATTTTCTCCTGTCTCTTCCTTCCCCCCTCTTGCTCCTCCTCAGTATTATCCTGAAATATTCTCCCTATCCTCATTCCGTATCCATGTTGGTGCAAGCCAGCTTGTTTGGAGGGGCCAAAGTTTCATGCAAGCCTCGACATTGCCGCCAGACCGTGTCCACAAGCGGTCGCACTCCCGCGGCAGAAATGGGCGGCTGTGGAGCCAAGCCCACCGACGGTCCGCGCACGAGAGTAAGGGTGCCCACGGATCACCTGAAGGAAGTGCAGGACGGGGGATTTGGAAAGGCACAGTTCATTTTGGACAATCCCGCTAGGATCCAGGACGTGTACAACATGGAGCAGAAGCGACTCGGTGAGGGGTCCTATGGGTCGGTGAGCAAGGGCGTCCACAAGTCGACCGGCGTCATCCGCGCCATCAAGACCATGTCGAAGGCCAAGATGAGACATATCGAGCGGTTCCAGAGGGAGATTGCAATCATGAAAGTCATGGATCACCCAAATATCATTAAGTTGTTCGAGTCGTTCGAGGACCATCACAATATATATCTTGCTATGGAGCTGTGCTCTGGAGGGGAGCTTTTCGACCGCATCATTGAGGCAGGCCACTTCAACGAGAAGGATGCAGCGATCGTGATGCAGCAAATGCTTAGGGCAATCTTCTACCTTCATGGGCAGCATATCTGTCACAGGGACTTGAAACCAGAAAATCCAGCTGCGCTGCCGCGCTTATCCGCCATCGATCTTGGGGCAGCTGCGTAGAAACAATGTGGCGTGGCCAGGCTGTAGCTTTGCATGGCTGATCGCTGCCGTGGGGCCTGCTCGGGAGCCCTCTGGGGCCTCCTGGGGGCCTCTTCCGAGCCGTGTGGGTGTGTCTTCGGGGCTTCTCGGATCTTGTGGGTGTTGGGGTGGTGCTGCATGGGCCGACTTGGGTGTCTTCGAGGTCTGAGGGCCAAATATGATTGTGCCTCATCGCGAGGCACACAATCGCTATCGAGACCCAAAGGATCTTCCTATTGCTCAAGATGGCACATCCTCTCCTGCTGGGACTGCCATGTTACTACGGTGCCACAGAGCTGGAGCTTGGCTTCGCCTAAGGCGAAGCTGCTGGCTTGGGGCCATCTCGGGGCGATCTCGGGGCCGCCCTGGGGCTGCCGGGGCCCGCCTCCTGGACCTCCCGCGGCCGGGCTGCCGCGGCACGCCCCCGAGCGGAACCCCGCCGTCCCTCGGCAGGTGCGGGCGGAGCCCCGCGCCGAGGCCGAGGCCCGCGATGCGCCCGCACCGCCCGCCCCGAGGCTCGGCAGAGCCTGGCCGAGGCAGGGCGGTGCTCCAAATCCCTTCTGAATTTCTCCCCCCCCCGAAAAATTAGCCTGGCGAAGGACCCAACCATATGCAGTTGAGAGTACCGCAATTGTGAATATCTTCTTCGGTGGCGCTCCCTATGGGGCCACGAACCGTATGAGGGGTGTGCCGAAATGCGTGGCAGTGTACACAACACGAACGAAGACGATAGGTCCGAATATAAAAGCTTGAGCGCGTGCGAGTCGGATCGCGAGCGAGTCTGATTATGAATGAATCTGCGCGCGATTGATTCTATTCGCATGAATGCGTGCATGGATACGCCAGTGTAAATGTATGTATACGACTGTGGACAGTTTGGGTCTGCGTGACTCTCGGTACTCGTGACTCTGAGCGTCGCCTCTGCAGGGGGCTTCCCTGGGAACCCCGACGGCAGCGCCCGCGCGCCGCGACGCCCTTGTCGGCACGCCACACACCTGGTGTGCGGGACGCATGCGGACGGCAGCACTGGGGCCTTCGGTGGAGCTCCCTGTGGGGCCACGAAACGTGTGAGGGGTGTGCCGAAATGGGTGTGCGGGACGCATGCGGACGGCAGCCATGGGGCTTCGGTGGAGCTCCCTATGGGGCCACGAAACGTGTGAGGGGTGTGCCGAAATGGGTGTGCGGGACGCATGCGGACGGCAGCACTGGGGCCTTCGGTGGAGCTCCCTGTGGGGCCACGAAACGTGTGAGGGGTGTGCCGAATTGGGTGTGCGGGACGCTTGCGGACGGCAGCACTGGGGCCTTCGGTGGAGCTCCCTGTGGGGCCACGAAACGTCATGGTGGGGTGTGCCGAATATGGCGTGTTGCGGGACGCATGCGGACGGCAGCACTGGGGCCTTCGGTGGAGCTCCCTGTGGGGCCACGAAACGTTGAGTGGGGTGGCGTGCTGTGCCGAACTGGGTTGTTTATTCATCTTTTTCCCGAACATGTGGTGTGTTGAGTGCGGGACGCATGCGGACGGCAGCACTGGGGCCTTCGGTGGAGCTCCCTGTGGGGCCACGAAACGTGTGAGGGGTGTGCCGAAATGGGTGTGCGGAACGCATGCGGACGGCAGCCATGGGGCCTGCGGTGGAGCTCCCTATGGGGCCACGAAACGTGTGAGGGGTGTGCCGAATGGCGTGTGCGACGCCAACATCGGACGGCACAGCCATGCGAACTTCGGGGGAGCTCCCTATTTGGGCACGAAGGTGTGAGGGTTGTGTGCCGAAAATTTCGAAAATGGGTGTGGCGGGACGCGATGGACGGCTAGCATATGGGGCCTTCGGTGGAGCTCCCTGTGGGCCAGTAAAACGTGTGTAGGGGTGTGGCGGAAATGGGTGTGCGGGACGCATGCGGACGGCAGCACTGGGGCCTTCGGTGGAGCTCCCTGTGGGGCCACGAAACGTGTGAGGGGTGTGCCGAAATGGGTGTGCGGGACGCATGCGGACGGCAGCCATTGGGCCTTCGGTGGAGCTCCCTATGGGGCCACGAAACGTGTGAGGGGTGTGCCGAAATGGGTGCGCGGGACGCATGCGGACGGCAGCACTGGGGCCTTCGGTGGAGCTCCCTGTGGGGCCACGAAACGTGTGTGGGGTGTGCCGAAATGGGTGTGCGGGACGCATGCGGACGGCAGCCATGGGGCCTTCGGTGGAGCTCCCTATGGGGCCACGAAACGTGTGAGGGGTGTGTGCCGAAATGGGTGGTGGGGAGGGGTGTGCCGAAATGGGTGTGCGGGACGCATGCGGACGGCAGCCAGGGGGCCTTCGGTGGAGCTCCCTGTGGGGCCACGAAACGTGTGAGGGGTGTGCCGAAATGGGTGTGCGGGACGCATGCGGACGGCAGCACTGGGGCCTTCGGTGGAGCTCCATGTGGGGCCACGAAACGTGTGAGGGGTGTGCCGAAATGGGTGTGCGGGACGCATGCGGACGGCAGCACTGGGGCCTTCGGCGGAGCTCCCTATGGGGCTACGAAACGCTGTACTGGGCGGGTGAAACGCAAGGAAGAGGGGGAGGAGGGAGGAGGAGGAAGGAGGAAGGAGACGCGGGGCACCGTCTCTTCAAAACGAGGACCCAACACCACAGGATGGTTGGGAAAAACTCGGGCCCCCACTTCATCGGGGGCGGAAAAGAGGGGGGTGATGACTAGGGGGGGTGGATATCATGGCGTGCGCCATGATGTTTCCCCAGATTTCATGGCGCCCCTTCTTACTTCATTGCGTCCCTGCACCCCCGCTTGGGCGGCGCGCACATGCCGCCGGTATGATTTGCACCCCCCCCTCTTGGACACCCCCCTCTTGCCGCTCCGACTGGCAGATTCGACCTTACCATCGGACCCCCCTCTTCGACGGGGCGCTTCAAATACACCGGACCCCCTAGGCTCTTTTCTTCCATTTTCTTTTTTTTTGTTTTTTTTTTCCAATCCAAAGAAAGTGCCCCGATTAAAACCGGACCCCCCCAGTTAAAAAAAAGGCGCCCCACAAAAACTGGCCCTGGGGAGGATAACGAGGTTCTTTTTTGTACTCCGCGATGATCCGGTGCTCGATGGAGGCGCACGTTGCCGCGGAAAGCGGCCGGGGCCCGCCCAGCGGTGGACACCACGCCAGCACCGTGCTCGGCGGGTTCCGGATGGCGACGGGCTGCCCACGTGCAGCGGGCCCTCTTGCAGGGGCCCGGCCCGCGGTGGTTGGGGCCCTGGGCGGCCACCCGAGCGGGCCACCCACCCGCCGCCAGCCAGACGCCTCTCCGGACGCCCGCTGCGGTGCCCTCCGGCTGCCGCCGCCGCCTCCCCCGCCTCTGCCGCACCGCCGCCGGAGTCCACCACGGCCGCTGGCCGAGTCTCGCGCACGCGCGGAGAAGGCCTGCGGCTCGCATCGGCACTGCCCCGCTGACTCACGGGCTGCGGCAGGGGTCCAGCCCGATCGCAGCCCAGACCTTGGACGCAGCGCAGAAGGATGGCGGCCCCTGCCCGCAAGCCAGAGTCAGGGGTGGACAGACCTCCTACCCTGAACTCGACTAGCGAACTGCCGTTTTCGGTTCGCGAGATGGCCGCGGTCGCGGCCGTCATTTTTGCGAGTTCAGGGTTCAGTTCCGTCGGTTTCGGTCCCAGGCTGTTTTCACTAAAGGGTGGTGAACTACAGGGAGGTTTGTCCACCGCCGACAGAAGGCCCCGCCGACGCCCACGGGGGGGGCCCCTGCGGAGGCAGTGGCATCCGGCAGCCCCCTGGAGAAGGCGCGGCCCCAGAGCTCGGAGGGTGCTCAAAGGGACGCCGCCTTGGCCCAGCCCGTGGTGACGAAAGACGAGGCCCCCGACTGGAGCCCATCGGCCGAAGACCGCCCAGCGGACAACACGGCTGCCGATGGCGTCATAGTCGAAATGTCCGAGGAGGAGCCTGATGCAAGCCCGACGGCTGCTCCCTCGGGGCCCGGGTCCTTGGCCGCTGGCACCTCGCCTCGCACGCCTGCCTGGCAGGACAGCTCCTCTTTGGCGAGGATGGGACTGTGGGGGAGGCCAGCAGCGATGCTGGTCGTGCCACGACTGGACCAGCACCGCTGCCCCCAACGACACCCGTGAGGCCCAGTGGGAGCGCCCACCCCCGTCCAGCATGCACCGCTATGATCAAGCGTCTCCAATCGGAAGCCGGCTTCCTGCACTCAGGGGCCTGGCCCGCCTCCTGCCAGCAAATAGGCTACTCCAAGAATCGCCGCGCGCCTGCGAACGATCCGTTCCGAAGGGTCTCCAAGGACGCCGACAGATTCCTCGCTGACCTGGCTCGCGCCAATCACAACGTAACCATGCGGGCGCAGCAGCAGGGGATACGAGTGGATCGGGATGCGGCACAGCGTGCGGCCGAGGCCAGGGGCAAGCAGGGGGACTGGGCCAGCGGCAAGGGGCTCGCATCTGGAAAGGGGTCCGACGTCGCCCCCCCCCCCCCCCCGGCTGGGACCCGAGTGCCGCCTGGGACCGCAGTGCCAGGCCGTTGCGACTCGCGCTGGCCGACTTCACGTCTGCGAGCACCCAGCCCTGTGCTCCTTCCCCGGCTGGGTCTTGGGGCTCCTCTGCTCCTCTTGTGGACCCTGTCTCTGGAGGAGGAGGAGGAGGAGGAGGAGGAGGAGGAGGAGGAGGAGGAGGAGGAGGAGCAGCAGGAGGAGGAGGAGGAGGACCTCTGCCCCTCCGCTGGCTGGGTCTTGGGGCTCCTCTGCTCCCATCGTGGGCCCGGTCTCCTGGGCCTCTCCGTGGGCGTGCTCCTTGCACGGGCTGGCCCGCTGGTCTGTGCCGCCGCGCCTCGCCCTCGCCGGCCGCGCACGGGCCAGCCCTTTCCCCCGCGACGCGCCTCCGACGGTTTCCTCCGGCCAGCCCCTCGGCTCCCTGGAGCCTGTGCTCTCGCTGCCCTCGCT